AAAATGATCAATCGGGAGAATCTCCGATGGATCTAGGTCAAAAGAAACGAGAGAAACGAACGGAAGATTCCAGAATCAGCTTGAGGTTTCAACCCTCAATGCTCTGATACCATATTAGTTGTGTAGAGTCAACGAAGAAGATGAAGTTGGGAAAAGAAATTCTGTTATTCATCAATGAATGTTGTTACATTGTTTATCTTATATATGGAAAGAAATGAACCAAGTAAACCGGTTTTATATCATAACCGGGAAATACAATCCAAATCTATCCTATATTCTGATAGACCCGACTTCATAGTTTTGAGTCCTTTGTGTTTCATCACGAGGATTCTGCAACTCCAGTATTATACACTTCATTGCACTTGGTTACTTTTGTCCCGAATAGGTTCCTTTGAATAGAATAGCTCGTTCGAAGATTTCACTCCTTTGGTCCAAGAGTTCAACACTACGTTGTCACTCGTATCAAACTGATACAGTCTTGAGATATCTCTGAGCTTGTTGTATCAACAACCACTCAAGAATTTTCATGTTCTTTTTTCTTTGAAGTGAATGTAAAATTTATTCAACCAATTTTTGTTTTTTTTTTTTTTAATAATGAACGCTACTTCTTTAAAAATTTGAATTGCGTTAAAACAAAATCTATCTAGAGGCAAACCATACTTGCATCCCATCTTCGTATTTTGTATTGCCTAATCTTCTAATCAAAGATAGTCCATTACGAACTTGCTTGTCAAGGTAGTGGATTAAGCGATTCAGAAGGTTGGGCTGTTCTCATGTTCATGTAGTCCGTGCCATGTGACGAACCCTTCTAAATGACTTTCTACATTGTAATCAGTGGCTAACAAAGAGCTGTGGCACCTCCACAAACTCATCCATATCAGTCAGTACAAAATGCAAAATATAATCTCATTGACTCCTTGCCCAACACAACCTTTAAGTGGAAAATATGGAACACCCGATGTAGAAGGAAGTTGCAGTCGATAAGCCACTCTCCCTATACATTTCATCACCTCAAAAGGTTCATTACTACAAACTAGGTGAATACCCGCGCAATGCGCGGATGGTTTACGTTATTTTTTTTAGTTTTTATTTTATTTTTTTAGTCATTTTACAATTTATTTTGTAACATTATCTTTAAATGAGATATTATTTGCAATCATGATATTTTTATAAGTACTCTGATTTTTGGTCAAATCGTCTATGTAATGTTGTGTTATATATAATTTTAGATCTCTTGATATTTGGTTTTTGAGTTCGTCTCTTTTATTCTTTGTCTTTGTTCTTATTTGATTGCAAGTAGGTTGTATTCTCTTATAATTTTATGAAATAAAAATGTTATCTTGAACTGGTTTATCGTATTCTTGATGATTTAACTTAGTATTAGTTCAATAGGGTATAAAATGATGTGTTATATATAATTTTAGATTTCTTGCATGATATTTGATTTTTGAGTTGGTCTCTTTTATTCTTTGTTTTGTTCTTATTTGATTGCAAGTAGGTTGTATTCTTTTATACTTTTATAATATAAAAATGTTATCTCAAATTGATTTATTGTATATTTGTTGATTTAACTGAGTATGTTTTTAATAGTCTATGAATTTTAAATAAATTTGAATTTGAATGACAACATTTCGTATAAGTGGTGTTTTTAAGAACCTAAACCCAAATCAATTGCTGTCTTGGTAAAATATATAATTTCAGATTCATTCAAATACTCTCCAATTCGTCTCTTCTATTACTTTATTATTTGTTTTTCTTTGATCGGCTAAAATTTTCTTGGCTTTACAACTCTCTTTCTGATAAGTAGTTTGTCTGTTGTTTTTGGTGTAATATAATTCTCCTGTATAGATACTTGTCGTTTCAGGAATGTATAGCAAATAAACAAAACATAGGAAGCAAACCATATCTCTCGATTAAATTGTTTCTTCACTGGGAAATTTTGTGTTAGTTTGATATGTTTTTATAATCTCTAAACTTAAAATCCCTTTAAATAATTCTTTTTTTTTTTGACCTCCATTTTGTGCTTCTATTAAACCGTTGATTCCTTGTTTTTAATTAAAGAAACTAAATTCTTTTTTTTTTGGGAGATAATAACTAAATTATTTTCTATTAAACTGTTGGTTCTACTTGGTAGGCGTTAAGTTTAAATGGAAGAAAATATAGCAACATCTGAATTCTATGGTTCTTATGTCCCATTCCTCGTCGTTCATTTATCTAAGTTAACAGGGAGTACCTTTATTGTTATCATCAGTAATGCACCAGGTGAGGAGAAGTCTTATTGAACACCAAATTATGTATTATTTGCATGAGTACCCTATGGGTAAAAGTTAGTAAATTCCAGAATTGAATATGCAAAAAGCTTTGATTACTCATGGAAGTCAAAACTCTCACTCCCTTCCTCACCATTTGATTTCTCACTCGAGTATCCATTCTCAACCCTCTGAGTTTAATCTTATGCATCAATGGAGGGAACATTCATTTGATTTTGTCTTCTCTTAGGCAAGCATTAGCTTTGCTGATACTTAACATCACTGATACATCTGTAAATAAAAAACATACAAAACATGTGAAGACAAATCAAGGAAAGTTATGGTAATTTTTTTAAAAATTACAGAGAGCCAAATGACCAAGAGCAGAAGCTGACGTTTCCACGACTCAAGCATCTTAATCAGTGGTGTGATGGCACCTCTTTGGGCAATGTGCAGTTGTGCACCTGCCTGATTATGTTGCCAGATATGTTGAATATGTTCTCTCTGGTTTGAATCCATCATCTATTTATGTTATCGAAAGAACCTGATCAGTTTGAGTTAACATATGTTAAGAGTATAGTACAACATGTCAAGAAAGAGACACGCTCATACCTTGCAATCTGAAACATGTGCAACAAATTGACCTATTAATAATGATGCTTCTCTATGTGTTTCCAAACAATTGGAGCTGTAGCAGATATTATAGCAAACGGTTACAAAACATATTTTATATTTTCAAGAGTAGACATCTGTTTCAGCAGAAGTAGAGTGGGAGACAAATAAGCATACCTCAGTAGACTAATTACTGGTTTTAAGGCACCTGCACGGATAACCTCTCTTGCCCCAATCTAAAAAGTCCATAGTAGATTAGAAAGAACTTAATAAAGCAAACCAATTGCCAACAATATAAAGTAAGATAAAGAACCAACTGCTTCACCATGCACAGAAGAATCTTCCTACTAAAGCATCAATAAAAGCATGAACAAAGCCTTCAACTCCACAATCTACATAGTTTCTTATTACGTAAGAAACATGTCCCTTATAAGCCTTCACAAAACAAAACATACTTGAATTTTGTTCTCATCATTTCTAAATGAAACCGTTCGCAAGCCCCCTGCAGCATCCCTCTGTGTACTTTAAAATCCAAAAAATCTAAAAGTTTAACAAGTGGTGGAATGCCACCTTCAACCCTGAAAAGAAATTGAAAAGGTGTAAAATGAAATCAGGCATAAGCAATAGCAACACCATATATGAATATTAGATAAAATCAAATACATGGGTTGAATTATGTAGATCTTAAAATATCAAATTCCAGTGAAAAAGCCAACCACCTCCTAATTTAAACCTCACCTCGTTGGCGATGATAACCCCAGAAAAAATCTAGGTCTCCCTCGACGCACTTATCTCACATAATGCACTGAAATCTAGAGAATTGATTTAGGGTTCTAATCTTTGGAGAAAGCTCCCGGAGACGATGATGATTCACTAATCAGTTGAACAATGATTGATCTTCACAATTTTATTTTTGGTGCAGAATTAATGAGATAAGTGAAGAAGAGAGAATGTGAAGAAAGGTGAGCGTTTTTTCTGCGTGTTTAAATTATCTTTATGAACTGAGATTATATTAAACGTAATATTGTACCAAGAATAGAAAAGCTAAAGTCATAAAAACTTCACAAAGACACATGCTTTTAATTATTGTGTTGGACACGTATCGTCTCCGCAGATGATGACGTGTCACTCTCTTAGAAAGAGTTCTTCCTCTTTTATATATAAGATGATAAATGCTATTCCCTTTTTCTTTTTTAAAACGATGTTTTAGCATTATGCACATAGATTAAGAAATTATTGATTTTTTATTTTATTTTTATATTAAAACATCATTTATTATTAATTTTAACCAATAGAAAAATAGCCTGTAGAATACAAAAAGACAAAAATCACAAAAAATAATTAAATTTTGCATAAATTTGTGAAAATATCAAATATTTGAAAACAAAAAAAACCTCTCAAACATCAATCAAATAAAAACTGAGGAGATAAAAGATAATTGTCATGAGGAAATCAGTTCTCTGTTTAATAGTAAATTTGAAAGAAAAAACCACCATAATTTTGTATTTTATTTTTAAATTCAATCCAAAATCACTAAAATCATTTCAAAAACTTATCAACACAATCTCTCCTAAACTATCAAAATTTAACTAATATTTTGAGTGACAAAAAAATTATTAAAATTGATTATTTGTCAGATAATATAACAATTGTAATAAAAAAATAATAACCGCACCTGTGCACAACAAATTTGCTACGGAAGCTACAAAATTCAAGACCGTATACAACCGCACTAATCGCGATTAATTTTTTTAATCATTCGCACAACCTTGATACGAAGCTTGATTTGTTGGTATAACTTTTGAGGTTCAAACGCCGTTTGTTCTTCTTCCTATCTCTACGCCTCTTTCTCTCTCTCAAACTCGTTAGCTTCTTCGATTTTTCTCTTTACACCAACGATATAATCCTAGTTGCTTCCCTCTATCGCAGAAACTTTCTACCTCCATGATTGAGTTGAGTTGGTCGCTGTAGCGTAGAAACCCTAAATTTCTGGTCCCATAGTTCCCACACGCAAAGAACCTGTCTTTGCTCATCATCCAATCTTATGTCAGGATTCTGGAAAGTGGGTTGTCTTAAAGTCTGAAGCTTTCGGGGACTAAGAGCTTGCACTTCTTGGTCCCCAGCAGATGAGTGGTGATAATGAGCCTGAGATTGCAAAGCCCTTTTCTTGGTACTCCTCTTCTTCTTCATGGTTCCTCAAATCGCGGAGACAACATAATTAAATGGCAGACACAAAAGCGGAGAAGAGCATTCCGCAGCAATCGTATTTGCTCCGAGAAGAAGAATGATTGGTTAGCGCAAGTGGCGAAATTTTCTCGGTTTTGTGGGAAAAATGTAGAGCTTTTGAGGAAGACTCTTGATTCTAGAAGTAGATTTGAGGTTAAATGTTTGAAAGAGCCTCTTGTACGAAGCAGGGGTTTGGTTAGGTCTTTGGCTCCTGTGTGGGAAGAGGGTTTGTTTTTTCTGAGGTGTTCTGTATTCTTTGCTGTCATCTCTGGTGTTTGTTTATTGGTGTGGTATGGACAGAACAAGGCTCGTGCTTTTGTCGAGACCAAGCTTTTGCCATCGGTTTGCTCTATGCTTAGTGAGAGTATCCAGCGTGAGGTTGATTTAGGAAAGGTTAGAAGAGTTTCACCATTGTGCATAACTCTTGAAGCGTCCTCCACGGGGCCTCATGGTGAAGAATTCTCGTGTGGTGAGGTTCCGACTATGAAACTCTGTGTCCGTCCTTTTGCCAGTTTGAGGAGGGGAAAGATAGTGGTTGATGCGATTCTGAGTAATCCAACAGTCTTGGTTGCACAGAAGAAGGATTTTACATGGTTAGGGATACCTTTTTCTGAAGCTAGTTTGCCGAGTCATTTGTCTTCTGAAGAAGGGATTGATTTTCGTACCAAAACTCGAAGAATTTCAAGGGAGGAAGCAGGGATCCGTTGGGATAATGAACGGGATAATGATGCAAGAAAAGCTGCGGAGATGGGATATGTTGTTCCTTGTAAAAGTCCTTCTCAAGTTAAAGATGATGCTCTGAAGCATGATAGGCAATTTACCGAAACAGCAAATATCAACTCGTTTATTTGCATGGATGAGAATATGCATTCAGCAGATCAGCATTGCATGGACACAGGAGTTGAGTATGACGTGAAGCATGCTGAATTGGAGAAATCATTTGGCATAAAGATCCCTGGTTCAGGGCTCAAGTTCTTGTCCAAAATGTTAAAGGGCCCGACGAAGTACAGATTTAAGTGGAGTTCGAAATCTCACAATAATTCAATGTCTGATATTAGTGCTAAGAAGCGGATTCTTGAGCGCAGTGCTTCAGCAGCTTTATCTTATTTCCACCGCCTATCAGAAAAAAAGTCTGACGAGTTGAGCTTGGATATGCTTTTAGTCAAAGGTGAGACAGAAATCAGTAATCAATATGACCTGTATGGTGAGCAATCACTAGGTAATGATGTAAATGGGGGAAAAGGGCTCCTAGCTGTCAAAAAGGCTACAACGTTAGACAAGTTCACTGTATCATGTGATCCATTCCTTATGACTGTTGATAGACTCTGTGCACTCATACAAACTGAAGCAAGCTCATATGTTGAGGATATTGTGAATTCTACCAAATCCGAGACTTTAAGCTGTCAGAGAGGGGATATATCTATGAATGTTGTGAATCAGAATGCTGGTGATGTTCCACATGGTAATCGAAGTGGTAATCAACCACGTGACTTTAGTTTCAAAAAGCATAAGAATCAGCCTGTAGCAAATCATGGGCGTCCTACATGGCCATGGAACATAAGATTGAAGGAAGTGGTTGATCGTATATTAACTGGTTCCTCTAAGAAGTTAACGGGAGGGACGAATCTGAATACTGCTGACAATGCTCTTCCCTTGAGTGATGGACTTGAGAAGCTGCCTGCTGTTTATCCTGAGAAGACACTGCCAATTATGCTTGATTCTGTGCAGTTTAAAGGTGGGACACTTATTCTACTAGCTTATGGCGATACAGAGCCCAGGTAAGGGTCATCTATCTTTTAAATGTAGTGTTAAAATCAGATATCTACTATGCCCTTTCTTTGACGCTCCAACTTCAACTTTCAATAATCATATTTGTAGCATCAATTTTATTTTCTTATATACTTTTAGCGTTGGTTTATGTGGATATCAGTATGGTCTTTTATATCTCTGCTTATTAGGGAAAGCTGAGTGGAGAAGAGTTCTTGTTAAGTTACTGATTCTGGTAAACATTTAATATGTAGAGAAATGAGGAACGTCCATGGACATGTTAAATTTCAGAATCACTATGGTCGTGTGTACGTGCAACTTGGTGGAAACTGTACTATGTGGAGATCAGATGTAACATCTGAAGATGGTGGGCTTTTGTCGGTTGATGTTTTTGTTGATACTGTAGAGCAGAATTGGCATGCAAATTTAAAGGTCGCCAATTTCTTTGTCCCGGTAAGGTATCAGGTGGAATAGATGACTTATGTTTGGTATCAATTGCAATGGTTGACTTATTTATTTTCTACGGCTCTGCAGATTTTTGAAAGAATTTTAGAGATCCCAATTGAGTGGTCTAAGGGAAGAGCTACTGGTGAGGTGCTTTTCTAATGTCCAATGTTTACCCTCTTAGTGAATTAAAGTTTATCATTTTCTAAGAGCTTTAATGATCTACGGGTTATGTTTTCTGTAGTAGTTTTGTTGTACAATATCTCTACGTGCGGCTAAAATATGCCCAATTAGTTAGTCATTCAAGTGTCACCAAGCTTGCTAGAAAACACTTATTGTTTCCGTCTATATTTATGATCGTTTGCGACAGATCTTTAAAGTCAAGTTGATGAGTCTGAGCAAATATTGGTTTGAATTTGGGTTTTCTTCCCTGACTGTCGCATACATCGTTGCAGATTCATCTGTGTATGTCTAGAGGGGAAATATTTCCAAACCTACATGGCCAGCTTGATGTCACAGGACTAGGCTTCCATATATATGATGCACCTTCTTCGTTTTCTGTAAGTCTTTCTAGAATATGCTTTCTCATGTCTTTTCAATATATTGCCTGTGCGTTAGAAGATCTCTGATATATGTCATTCCCAACTGTTCATATATAATCTCATTTTTTTTTTTCAGGATGTCTCAGCCAGCTTGTCTTTCCGCGGCCAGCGCATTTTCCTTCATAATGCTAGTGGTTCGTTTGGAAAGGTTCCCTTGGAGGCTTCTGGAGATTTCGGTATTCATCCTGATGACGGGGAGTTTCACCTGATGTGTCAGGTAAGATCTGTTATGTAACCCATAATCTAGATGGCAACTGTTTTATCTAGATTACCAGTGGAAGACAAAACGAAATAATTTTATGTTGATTTGTTTGGTTTTTCTCATCAAAATTGCTGATTGCCTTGTTTTGTTTCAGGTTCCATATGTTGAAATTAATGCTTTGATGAAAACGTTCAAGATGAAGCCCTTGTTTTTCCCGGTATCGATTTTTTTTCCATATGCATGTTCGGTTAAACTTCACCATTAATATATTGATGTATTTTCCTTTTTTTGGTTCTTAGTTACTCACTTATCAATTAAATCTGTAATCTTGGAACGCAGTTAGCTGGTTCTGTGACAGCTGTATTCAATTGTCAAGGCCCGCTTGATGCTCCCGTTTTCGTGGGGAGTTGCATGGTCTCTAGGAAGATAGCTTATATGTCTCCAGATCTCCCTGCGTCTGTGGCATATGAGGCGATGCTGAAAAACAAGGAGGCTGGTGCAGTTGCAGCATTTGACCGTGTTCCGTTTTCTTATCTTTCTGCTAATTTCACATTCAACACTGATAACTGTGTAAGTTCTTTCTCTGTTCCCACTTCCGTGAAGTAGTCTTATGCATGACATTTTAGAAATTTTCAAATTAGCCTATTTCTTTTGATAGGTTGCTGATCTATATGGTATTAGAGCCACCCTTGTTGATGGTGGGGAGATTCGTGGAGCAGGGAATGCTTGGGTATGTCCAGAGGTATGCTGTATTTACTTTCCACCTTTCTATATTCCTACGACAATTGACCTTGCATCATTAATTTATCTGGATTTGGGGAGGACTGAGGTAAGGGAAATGAAGGCACCATGCCAGTGGGCTTGGCAATATGACCAAGATATGTGGCTTAATCTTAAGTTTTCTCCTGAGGGGTCTGCAGCGGATTTTAGGAATAACCCATCAGGTTTATAAATTGACTGCATCAAGTCCCATCTTTCGTCCAAATAAATTGTTGTGATTTTGGGTTCCACGTCAGGCATGCGTAGTATCTATGTAGACATGAGGAGCTACTACGGTGGTAACTGTGTCTGAGATTTAGGTTTATTTTTTCTTTTGAGCGGAGCCTGTGGTATATTTCTATCATAATCAACTCTGTATGTTAATTAAAGAAAAATGGTTATGGTTGACCAGCCTGTCTCACCTTGCTCCCTCGCCAATTAGATAGAAGTCTCAGTTTTATCTAGTCCCCATCTGTTTGCTAAATTCCTTGAAAAATATTCTCACTAGTTCACTTGACATGTTTTTTTTCTTTTCTTTTTCCGATGCTGACATTGTATACATGTTTACAGGGGGAGGTAGATGATACAGCAATGGATGTAAACTTTTCAGGAAATATATCTTTTGATAAGGTTTTGCATCGTTATGCACCTGAATATCTTAATCCCGCGCCGCTGAAGTTAGGTGATTTAACTGGGGAGACAAAACTTTCTGGTGCCCTCTTGAAACCGTAAGCTTCCCTTACCTTTTAGTTGGGCTGTTTTTTAGTGTTCACTCATGTGTGTGCTTGTCTTATTTGCTCCATTTGAATATTGAGTGCAGGAGATTTGACATCAAATGGGCGGCACCTAAAGCTGATGGCTCCTTAACTGATGCCCGAGGAGATATTGTGATATCACATGATAATATCATCATTAATTCATCATCTGTTGCTTTTGATCTATACACAAAATTAGATACCTCATACAAAGACAAGTGTTTGTCTCACCAAGACTTCACTCAAGGAGAGGCTATGCCATTTGTTGTTGAGGGGCTTGATTTGGATCTACGTATGCGTAATTTTGAGTTTTTCAGCTTGGTCTCTTCCTATCCATTTGATTCGCCGAGACCTACACATTTAAAAGCAACAGGAAGGGTCAAATTCCTGGGGAAGATAAAACGACACAGCACTACAAAAGATGGAGGCGTTGAATCAGATAAATGTGAAGATGCAGCTGCAATTTCAAGCCTGGTTGGTGATATTTCCATCTCAAGCCTTAAGCTGAATCAGTTGACTTTGGCCCCTCAACTGGCTGGACTTTTGAGCGTCTCACGTGATCATGTTAAGGTAATGTACTGATTTCTTGCTTCTTCATTGAATAGTATTAGTAACACAACGAGCACTAGTAGCAGCTAACCTTACTGTGGTGGTTCTTAATCATGATTTCAACAGACCTTTTTGTCGGGCAGTAAAGAATTGTGATTGATAGGAGATTTCTACTAGTCGAAGCTTTTCTCTGAAACCGTTTTTGTCAGTTTATAAAAGTCATGAACGCTATCTTGTCAAAATTGCGTCAGTACTTCTCATATATCTGGTTTGAATAGTGTTCTAGACAGACTTTGTTTTAGACAGAGGTTAACCCATGATTTTATACTTTCTAATATTTTTTAGTATTGTTGCGTATCTAGCTTGATGCCGTAGGGCGGCCAGATGAAAGTCTCACACTAGACTTTATAGGTCCACTACAGCCTAATTCTGACGAAAACGTACAAAGTGGAAAGTTGCTCTCTTTTTCTCTACAAAAGGGACAACTAAGAGCTAACGCTTGTTACCAACCACAACAGTCTGCTACTTTGGAGGTATTGCTTTCTCTTCTGTGAATATATGTTTTTGTTTGACATCTGAAGCAAAATTGAGAATCGGCAGCCGACGATTTACATTTTGTCCCCAAATTTGGTTGCAGATACGCAATTTTCCACTTGATGAGATGGAGTTGGCCTCGCTGAGAGGGTTGATACAAAGGGTAAGAACATTCGTACGAATAATTAACTCTGTGCTAGTACTGAGTCAATGTTCAGAAATAGAACAGTATTAAAGGTATCATGAGCATGAAAGTCTTAAGAGGATATTTTTTTGTCTATGAAGTCCAGTCTCACTTAATAGACTGTTCATCAGATGGCATCCTGTGAGTATAGGGAGGATCCATACACTTTAGGAAGTTACCATGAAAATTGGCAATAAAGACCTCACGGGGCAAACTAGTCGTAAGGCTTTGATCCACTTCTTATGGTAATATACGGTGACATAATCATTACCTTTGGGCGCATGGAGCTCAAATCCTACGACTGGTGCACAAAACATTCTTGCTCAAATTTAAATTTAAAACTTTTATCATATAATCAGATTCAATAGTCTGATGGCAATTTTCACGTCGTTTATGGATCATTTATATGCATCGATAGTTGACTAGAGATGATGGATCGAAACTTTGATGATAAACAGAATTCCAGATCTTTTACAAGCACAACAGAATAGTAAAAATTTATGAGCAACTGTTCATTAGGGGAACTGTTGGTAGATCAAGTGGAACGAGAAATCTCATATGTTTAATAAATACTACCATATGAGATTGATAAAAATTATGGTGTCACAAGCTTGTAACAGAGATGTAGAAGGTTAGGTCACGAGGTTTTTACTGATGATCCTGGGAAGCTGGAATCATACTCAATCACATTCACATTTAACCTGGAGATAGGATTCTATTGTTCAGCTTTGTTTTCACTTCTTTTGATGGAAAATGGGTGAAAAAATCTTTTGATAGCATGTTTCACGTCATTAAGGGGTGAAAGGTTTAGAAACGGTTGTAAGATGAAAAACGTACTCCTAGTTCCGAGGGTGTGTGCAAAAAATCACCTTTGTTGATGGTCTTCACTTCAAAATTGTTGTTTGAAGTCCTGTGGAGTGATTTTCCCTGCGAGTGCTCTCTGTTTACTTGATGCTATGAGATTAGTGATAACATAGAAAACCAGCTTTTCAGAGACTAATGGAGACTTCATTAAAGTTATCAATAATATTTTACTTTATATTTTACTTGCAGGCAGAGATTCAACTAAATCTTCAGAAGCGAAGGGGACATGGCCTGTTGTCTGTTATTAGGCCAAAATTTAGTGGAGTGCTAGGTGAAGCTTTGGATGTTGCAGTAAGATGGAGCGGTGATGTGGTATGTATTACAACCCTACAGGTCCCTGTTCTTTTGGTTTAGTTTTCTAAGAAATTAAGAAATTAATCACCGCTGATGTCTAGTTTAATAATTTCATAGTACATCATTTGCCACCATATAAAAGATCATAACTAAATCAAGCCTTATCCATCTCTATGCATTATACCTTGTTTTTAATGTTTCATGTTATTCAGAGGACTAAAGGTTATAGTGAGATTAAACAGTGTATAATTGATAAGTTCTTTTAGCAGTGAAGGCAATATGAGAATGTGCTTGATGATATTTCTGCTTATTCTTTTCATCTTTCTTTTTAAAGATCACCGTCGAAAAAACTATTCTGGAACAAAGCAATAGCCGGTATGAGCTTCAAGGTGAATATGTATTACCGGGTTCCCGTGAGCGAGACCTTGGTCAGAAAGAAGCCGGAAGTTTCTTAGTGAGAGCCATGACTGGTCATCTAGGAAGTGTTATATCTTCTATGGGAAGATGGAGAATGAGACTTGAAGTGGCTAAGGCAGAGGTTGCTGAGATGCTTCCTCTTGCAAGGCTTCTTTCTAGAAGTACAGATCCAGCTGTTCACTCAAGATCTAAGGTTTGCGAAAGTATTTTGCTAAATCACATTCTTCTATTGTTATTAACCATGTTCTAATATGCTGGTTCGAGAAAAATGCAACCTGTATGAGCTTGTTCATGTTCGTGTACTCCACAAAAATTCTCATCTCATTGAGTTGTATGCCTCTCTGATTATGCGCGTTTCTTGGTTGGTATGGCAGGATCTTTTTCTTCAGAGTGTGCAAAATCTCTGTCTACAAGCTGACAATCTTCGAGACTTGCTTGAGGTAATGTACCAAATATGATGCCTTTTTCCATTTGAAAGTAACTGTGTAGATACCATTAATCTCGTCTTTCTTTATTTCTTTCTATTTTTAAATATCATGATTCCTTGAAATCAGGAGATACGTGGGTATTATACTCCAGCAAGTGAAGTTGTTTTTGAAGATCTAAGTCTTCCAGGTTTAGCTGAACTCAAAGGTCATTGGCATGGTTCGCTGGATGCTAGCGGCGGTGGCAATGGAGATACCTTGGTATAAAAAATAACCTTTCATCTCGTTTCTTAAATGGAAGGGTAAAGATTATCATCATTTAAAAGAGACTCCAAATTGGTTTTCATAAATTTTCTAGTCTAAGGGGATGGGTACAGTTGTCTTCGAAAGGAAATTTTTTGTTTGTTTGAGTCAGATAATAAATTGAGAAAGCTCTTGTTTAACCGTTTTCCTCTTAATATCAGGCCGAATTTGACTTTCATGGAGATGACTGGGAGTGGGGGACTTACAAAACACAGCGTGTTCTGGCTACTGGCTCATACAGCAATGATGATGGTTTACGTCTTAAGGAGATGCTTATTCAAAAAGGAAACGCTACATTGCATGCGGATGGGACTTTATTGGGGCCGAAAACAAATCTTCATTTTGCTGTTCTGAATTTTCCTGTTAGTTTGATACCTACTTTGGTTGAGGTTGTTGAATCATCAGCTAGTGATCTTGTTCACTCTTTAAGGCAACTCCTGTCACCAATCAAAGGCATTTTGCACATGGAAGGGGATCTTAGAGGGAGTCTTGAAAAACCAGAATGTGATGTACAAGTTAGATTATTGGATGGTGCGGTTGGTGGTATAGACCTTGGACGAGCTGAAGTTTTTGCTTCTCTGACATCTAACAGCCGTTTTCTTTTCAACTCCAACTTTGAACCATTTGTCCAAAATGGTCATGTGCATATACAAGGAAGTGTTCCTGTTAACTTTTCGCAGAAAAACATCTCTGAGGGAGAAGACACAGAAACTGATAGGGGTGGTGCAGTGAAAATCCCTAGCTGGGCAAAAGAAAAGGAAGATGATGAGAAGAGAACCTCAAGGGATAGGAGCGAAGAGGGATGGGACAGCCAACTAGCCGAAAGTCTCAAGGGTTTAAACTGGAATATTTTAGATGCAGGAGAAGTTAGATTGGAGGCAGACATCAAGGATGGGGGGATGACATTGTTGACAGCCATTTCTCCATATGCTAATTGGCTCCAAGGAAATGCTGATATCAGACTTCAGGTTGGCAAAAAATACTAGCTTGTGCTCTTGTTAAGTTATCTTTACATCATTGGATAGTTCAGTTGATCTTTCCATGCCCTGAAACATTAAAGAAGGTAAGACTAAATTCACTTACCCGTACTCTACCTGCTGAGCAGGTCGGCGGTACAGTAGAGAATCCAGTGCTTGATGGGTCTGCATCATTCCACAGGGCGTCCATATCTTCACCTGTGCTCCGTAAACCTCTAACAAACTTCGGTGGGACCTTACATGTTAAATCAAACAGGTTGTGCATCACCTCACTGGAAAGCAGGGTAAGTCGAAGGGGAAAACTGGTTGTTAAAGGAAATCTTCCCCTTAGATCAAATGAAGCATCTGCTGGTGATAGAATAGAACTCAAATGTGAAGTTCTAGAAGTACGAGCAAAGAATTTTCTAAGGTACACTCTACAATCGTCGATGCTGTCATTCATTTCGAGCTTCTAGTACATAATTTTGATTTATGTTTTTCTTTTTCCTTCACTGTTGATATATCTTGACGAGTAGATACTTTATCCTGGATCAGTTAAAGTTTATATATATTATTTGCTGTTCTGCTAGATCGCATGCTGAGATACTGTCTCGTCTAGCTTTCTTCCATTCTTCTCTTCGAGATTCATGCTAATGAGCTTATTATATTTGCTAATTCCTAATGAGAGTAATCGTGTTGCCAAATCAGTGGTCAGGTTGATACTCAGCTGCAAATTAGTGGATCAATGTTGCAACCAACTATATCAGGAAATATTAAATTAAGCCACGGAGAAGCTTATCTGCCTCATGATAAGGGTGGTGGAGCTGCCCCGTTCAATAGATTAGGAGCCAATCAATCAAGGATCCCAGGTGCTTCTATTAATCAAGCAGTAGCGTCACGATATTTTGCTCGATTTTTTGGTACTGAACCAACTTCTTCAAGGATGAAATTCTCCCAGTCAACTGGTAACTTATGTCTCCACTAGCAAAAGTTTAATGAGTTTGTCTTTTTAAGTATTTGGATCTTGTATGTAAAACATTGTCTTGATCTCAGCTTGATTTTCTGTAACAGGTGAATCAAATGCTGTTGAAAAGAAGATTGAGGAAGTGAAAATGAAACCAAATATGGATATCCGTCTGAGTGATCTGAAACTTGTTTTAGGACCAGAGTTGAGGATAGTGTATCCTTTAATTCTTAACTTTGCTATTAGTGGTGAACTTGAGCTTGATGGCATGGCTCATCCCAAATATATTAAACCAAAGGGTATCCTGACATTCGAGAATGGAGATGTCAACCTTGTGGCTACTCAGGTTTTTTCTTTTTCTGTGCTGAATTCATTTGTTCCATGTTTTCGTGACACATACTTTCCTCAAGTATTCAACAGCTGTTTTGTTTTCTAAACACAGGTACGCCTAAAGAGGGAGCATCTCAACATTGCTAAGTTTGAGCCTGAACATGGACTAGATCCTCTACTAGATTTAGCTTTAGTTGGTTCAGAATGGCAGTTCAGGATCCAAAGTCGTGCCAGCAATTGGCAGGACAAACTTGTGGTGACTTCAACTCGTTCTGTGGAACAGGATGCTCTCTCACCTTCCGAGGTAAACTTGAAGTCAAAACGCTTGCTGAAAATTTGGAAATGTTGTCGCCTTGTTCTTGATGAATTTTCATTTTTCCAGGCTGCAAAGGTGTTTGAGAGCCAATTAGCAGAATCCATTTTAGAAGGAGATGGACAACTTGCTTTCAAAAAACTTGCAACCGCAACGCTTGAAACCTTAATGCCAAGGATAGAAGGAAAAGGAGAGTTTGGTCAGGCGCGATGGAGGTTGGTGTATGCACCACAGATCCCAAGTTTACTCTCTGTTGATCCAACCGTGGATCCTCTCAAGTCTCTGGCGAGCAACATCTCATTTGGAACAGAAGTAGAAGTGCAGCTCGGAAAACGTCTTCAGGTCAGGCTTATAAAACACATAAATCTTCTTTCTTTTCCATGTGGTAAGATAAGCCACACTTCTTTTTAAACCTTCACCAAAATAAACACTGTCTGGTTCTTGTTGTCTTTTATCTACAGGCTTCCGTGGTTAGACAGATGAAAGATTCTGAGATGGCGATGCAATGGACTTTGATATATCAGCTCACGAGCCGCTTGCGTGTCCTTCTTCAATCTGCACCTTCGAAACGATTGCTTTTTGAATACTCGGCTACATCACAAGACTAAAATGCTTTTTGGCTTCCTCTCTCGGATTCATATGGAGGAGCCGTTTGTTGCAAATGAAGGGACTGCATGATTTAGTGACTTTGGTCCATTATTGACAAGAAAATTATTTTATTATTTAGTCAGGTTCATCTTTTGGCCTTCTACTTTTTCGTTAAAGATGTAAAAATTTCGTTGTAAATGCTCTTTTGTTATGGAAATACGCAAGTTTCGTTGTAAATGCTTATTCGTTAGAAAATAATAATTTTACTTTTTTTGTTGTCTACATAATCATTGAATCCAACTACATGTATTACATGTGATTATGGTGAACAATTTCACGCACAACGATTTTACGACACAAGATTTCGTTTTTCTGCACCACAACGAATCATTGTGCGTGAAATTGTTTGAGAGCATTGGAACCATTTGAAGAAACTCGTCAAAACCTCTTCCTTCAAAATATATAAAACCTCCCACCCTTACCACCACCTTCTCTAATGTCTTATTAAACCACATGCTTTGACGCTCCATTTCAAAACCCTCAGCTAATGAATTTTAGCATTGATTCGGATTTAAGCCATGCAAATTCAAGTAGTGGTCAAGACACTCCTCAAGTACAACAGAAAAGATTTTACATTTTTGCTAACAATTTATCAATTTCACAGATTCTACAAACTCAAAGTGAAAGAACATGGTTCTTGGATTATTCAAACTTGGGAATTGTTAGAATGGTTAAGGAATAGTATTGTAAATATACATGTATGGTGCCGTGTTCCAGATTGTGTCTACTATTAGGTTTTATGTAAGGTGAGCTTTGTCTACTATATCATTGTTTCAAATCTATAAGCTTTAGCATTGAACACTGGAAAAGGAAGATATCAGAGCTCGGCAAGAGATAAAATCAAGAGAATTTACAATTTATATCATTTTCACATTTTTTATTTATAGATATATCACTTTCTAATATTTTTTTGTTAAAGAGGATAATTATCCACATCACTTTTACCGACATAGACCGACTTGGTAAGTCAGTAACTCTTTTATTATATTATTTAAAATTCTTTATAAATATGTGAGTTACCTCTTTGTAAAAGAAGTAAGTTAAGAAGTATAAAACCTCCTTCTCTCTTAACGTCTCTTCTTCCTCTCATCTCTTTCTCCACCTCAATATTATAATAATATATATACATCAAACACACATATATATATATATACATATATCCTCACCTATATCATATATATTACATAAAACGTTATCAGCACGAACCATTCTTATACCGTTCCTATACCAAAAAGGTGAAGTTTAATTTATGTTCAATCCATCTACTTTTATGTTTATATTTTATGGTCGGGATGATAGGCGCTGCCTTCTCCGAAACGATCGTTATGGAGGCTATGCCTTTACGATCATGATCATATGGTAGACTATATCTCCTCAGATCAAATATATGGTTGGTTTATGATCATATGGTAGTTGACTCCTCAGATCATTACCTCCATATAATAAATGTCCAGAAGACATTTAAGAAAAGTTCCTAAAGAACTAAGAAAAATGTCCAGAAGACATATGAAAAAGAATAGTTCCAAAAGAACTATATGAAAAATATATATCCAGAAGATATATAAAAGCGTTCTTGAAGAACTGCATAATTAATTTCGTCCAGAAGACGAATATTTATTTTAATTATTGTTCTTTAAATTCTGTTAATTACTGTTATTTAATTTCTGTTTATTATTACTTTAAATTCAGTATTTTAAATTCAGTTTTTATTACGTTTATGAATTCTAAAATTTTATCACGTTTTATTAAAATCATAATTTTTTTAAAAAAAAAAACTGGATTATGACCAAATTTATAAATTGTTATATTGATAACAGTTATCATGTCGAATTTGACAAAACTCGAGATTACTGCCCTTGATATTTCTGGAAGAAATTATATGAGATGGGCAGTAGCTGCAAGGATGCATTTAAAAGGAAATGAGCTCCTTGATACCATCGATAAAACAAAAACAGTTCCTGAAGAGAAAAAGGCGAAAGCCATGATCTTTTTATTCCACCATATCCATGATGGTTTAAAAGATGAATATATCACGAAAGAAGATCATGCAGATCTTTGGCAATCACTCCAAGATAGGTTTGATCACCAGAAATATGTGATCTTACCAAAGGCTAGACATGAGTGGTTGAATCTCCGGTTCCAGGACTATAAGAGCGTTAGTGAGTATAACTCCGCTCTATTTGGAATCACTTCCAGGATAATGTTATGTGGAGAAAATATAAGTGATCATGATATGATTGAGAAAACTCTCTCAACATTTCATCCTGAAAACGTAGTCCTGCAGCAACAATACCGGGCAAACGGATACAAGAAGTATTCGGAGTTAATGCAAGTTCTCTTGGTGGCAGAACAAAATAATGAACTCGTGATTTTAAACCATCAAACTCGTCCAACTGGATCAGCTTCATTCCCAGAAGTGAATGTTGCATCGTCAAGCCATGAAAATTGGCAAAGTGGACGTGGACGCGGTCGCGGAAATGATCGTGGTCGTGGACGAGGTTTTGGACATGGTCGAGGTCGTGGACGAAGAAGAAGATTCCGTCCTGCTGATTTAAACGATGGAAGAAATAACAAAAAATTCAAAGGTAATGAAGTTGGTCGCAAGCAACATGAGAATGCTTGCTACAGATGCGGCATGAAAGGACATTGGGTTCGTACCTATCGTACGCCAAAACATTTAGCCGATCTGTACCGAGAATCAGAAAAGGCGAAAGGAAAAGAAAGTGAAACCAACTTCATCCATGGTGAATCTAGTTTTTCTTTTGATGGTATAAACGATGATACAAATCTCGATATATCTGATTTCATCGTTGATCCCGAAGATATCAACGGAAAAAAAAACGAGTAAAATCTTCTCGAAGAAGAAGATGTGACATGATGTATACATAGTGTGAAAAAAATAAAAACTGTAAAATATAATGTTTAAAAATGTACTTTTTATTGTAAAAAAAAGTTTTTATTATAATATAAACTCTTTTCTTTTGCGATATTAATTTATCTTTTATGAATATCTTAAATTCAGAAAATGTCAAAGATTAAGATCGAGGATGGAGATATATGTCTGGCAGACAGTGCGACAACGCACACAATATTAAAAGATAAAAAATATTTCTCCTCTCTTAATATGAAAGATTCCGCTGGAAGCGTGAATACAATATCTGGTAATGCAAAAATTATTATGGGCTCCGGAAGAGTCAGGTTTTCAATGCCAAGGAGAACAAAGTTTGAAATAAGTGATGTGTTATATTCCCCTGGATCTTACAGAAATTTGTTAAGTTTCAAAGATATCCGCAGAAATGGATATCACATAGAAACTATGAATAAGAACGGCATTGAATATCTTTGCATTACATCAGTTATTTCGGAGAGAAAAGTTGTACTGGAAATATTACTAGTATTATCCTCCGGAATATATTCCACAAAGATAAATATGACTGAATCATATGTTACAGTAAACCCGAAGTTTACTAGTACATTTAAAATCTGGCATTAACGATTAGGGCATCCTGGTTCAGTCATGATGCGGAAAATTATGGAAAATTCTAATGGCCATCCGTTGAAAAACCAGAAGATTTTTCAATCGGGAGAATTTATCTGTAATGCTTTTTCTCAAGGAAAACTTATAACTCGGCCATCACCAGCTAAAATCGGGAATGAATCTCCAGTATTCCTAGAGAGAATACATGGTGATATATGTGGGCCTATTCACCCACCATGTGGGCCATTTCGATATTTTATGGTATTAATTGACGCATCCAGTAGATGGTCACATGTGTGTTTATTGACAACACGTAATACGGCTTTCGCAAGATTCATTGCCCAAATAATCAGGTTGAGAGCACAGTTCCCTGATTATACGATAAAGAAAGTGAGACTTGATAACGCTGGTGAATTCACTTCCCAAGCTTTTAATGATTATTGTATGTCATTGGGAATTGATGTTGAACATCCTGTTGCACGTGTTCACACACAAAACAGCATGGCTGAGTCATTGATTAAACGGTTACAACTCATTGCTAGACCGTTAATATTGAGAACAAAGCTCCCAATTTCAGTATGGGGTCATGCTATCTTGCATGCAGCGGCATTGCTTCAGATAAAACCGAGTTCTTATAATAAATATTCCCCAATACAATTAGCATCTGGCCAGGAGCCAAATGTATCCCACCTGCGTGTGTTCGGGTGTGCGGTTTATGTTCCGATAGCCCCGCCACAAAGATTAAAAATGGGGCCGCAAAGAAGATTGGGAATATATATCGGTTATACGTCACCGAGTATAATTAGGTATCTTGAACCGCAAACTGGTGATATGTTTACAGCTCGTTTTGCCGATTGCCATTTTAATGAAGATGAATTTCCAGCGTTAGGGGGAGGAATTAAAGAAGTTCCAAAAGATGTTACATGGTGCACACCATCTTTGTTGCACCTTGATCTCCCTACGAAACAACGTGAACTCGAAGTTCAGAAAATTGTTCATTTACAAAATATGGCAAATGAAATACCAGATGCGTTCAAAGATACAAAAAGGGTGACAAAGTCATATATACCCGCTGCAAATGTTCCATCGAGAATTAATGTTCCGGAAGAACAAAATGATGGAAAAATAGCGAATGAACCCAAAGTTCAGTTAAAGAGGGGGAGGCCGATTGGCTCAAAGGATAAAAATCCCCGAAAGAAAAAGAAATTGGGAAAACAAAATGAAAATGGTCTAGAAGAACCACATACAGAGAAAGGTCTTGAAGACGAAAATGACGAAGAAAATCATGAGATTTCCATCAATTATGCCCAAGATGGGATATTATGGGCTAGAGATGAAATAGAAGATAATGATGGAATATTTTCATTCTCTGTATGCAAAGAAATTGAATATGAAATTGATGATCCAGATCCAAGGTCCATATTGGAATGCCAGAAAAGAGCTGATTGGGAGAAATGGAAAATGGCCATAGAAATTGAATTGATCTCCCTCAATAAGAGAAAAATTTTTGGACCGATTGTCACAACACCTAAAGATGTACAGCTGGTTGGGTACAAATGAGTTTTTGTGAGAAAAAGAAATGAGAAAAATGAGGTGATGAGATATAAAGCCCGACTTGTTGCCCAAGGATTTTCTCAAAGACCAGGAATTGATTATGAAGAAACTTATTCTCCGGTTATGGATGCAATTACATTTAGATTCTTAACGAGTCTTGCGGCATCCAAAAATCT